AAACAGCTACGAAAGAAATTGCATGTTTATATTAAATCTGTGTGTCAGCAGCTTAATATACAATAAATAAATAACTGCTCTCTTGTCTCCTCTGAGGCTGGGACTCTAAATAAGCCTTGTTCAGACTGTCAACCCAAATCCGATTTTTGTGCAAATCCGATTGAAATACGATCATATTTAGATAGTCTGAACGGCAACGAACTACATGAAATCCGATTTGTGCAAATCCGTTTTGAGCTACATTCGTATGTGGTTTGGAATCCTATTCAAATCGTATTTCAGGAAATCCATTTCAGTCTGACCGGTCAGATCGGATTTAGTGTAGCTTTTTCACGTTCTCACGCCACGTAAAACGAAAACACGTCAGACGTTTTTGTAGAAAATATAATAAATGTCTTTGCAGAAACAAGCTTGTGTTGTTGCGAACTTTAAGTCAAGCAGAAAAAGACAATATACTGCTAGTATACTCACCTCTTTGAGTGTTGAAACCAGCGGAGATGGCAGCACGGAATAAAGTCGCACATTCCAGCTTTCTGGCTGTGTTTCTGATGCTGCCTCATAAGATGAAATCCATAATAATAATAATCCAGCATGATGGCAACATGTTGCCATGTCGTAAGACATCTGTATTGCAAACTGTATTGCAGTTATTGTTGTTTTTAGCTTAGGCATAATGCAACGGCATTGCCATAGTAACTAACGCACATTCAGTAAAACGAAAGAGTGCTTATGGACACAAAAATCGCATATGAACAGCTGCAATACACTGTGTGGACAGTCAGTCAGTTACTGTCCACCGGATATGCACAAAATCGGATTTGGGCTGACAGTCTGAACGAGGCTATAGTGTTCTGTGCTTGTCAGTGCAACCAAAGACAGAAAAGTTAGCATGCTTTGCTTGAACTTTCACCATGGCTTTAGAACATCACTGTCGCTTGTGAAACACAATAGTGGCACCATGGGTGGAAACGTGCAGATTAAGAGGCGGTAATATTATAAGATCCTCTTTCTACGTCACGGGGGGAGCGAAATCTGAGCGGCTCATTTTTCACAAGCTTGCAGAGAAGGGCTCCTTTTTTAACATTTCCTGGGTTGGTAGATGCACCGGGGACCCAATTACAGCACTTAAACACGGAAAAAGCTAGATTTTTATGATATGTCACCTTTAATAGTAGAGATATATTAATCTCGCTTTGTCTCATTAGTGTCTGTTTTTAAGAAACTTCAAATCAATCTTAAAAATGAAGGTTCCAAAAGAGAGTTTTTGCAATGATACCATAGAACAGGGGTGGCGAACGTCGGTCCTGGAGAGCCGCAGCCCTGCAGAGTTTTGCTTCAACCCTAATCAAGCACACCTGCACAAGCTAATCAAGGTCTGAACGGTTACTAGAAAGCTACAGGCAGGTGAGTTTTAATTAGGGTTGGAGCTGTACTCTGCAGGACTGCGGCTCTCCAGGACCGGAGTTCGCCACCGCTGCCATAGAAGAACCATTTTTGGTTCCTCAAGGAACCTTTCAGCAAACAGTTCTTAAAAGAACCAGTTTTTCCTTATTGTGAAGGACATTTTAATAATCTAAATAACTACTTCTATTATAAAGATACTTTTGTGAGAAGAAAAAGTTCCATGGATGTTCTTCATGGATCCATCAATGCCAATAAGGAACCTCTATGTTAAAGAGTACGTGAGAACTAAATCTCCTGAGCAATGAGTGTGATTTTATCGTGTTCTTCAGGGCTGTATTTGCTCCAGGTCATTCAGGTTATTTAGATGTCAATTGTTCACTACAATTTTCAAATAATGTATTTGCCCAGGGCTTTTATGAAGCCACTACAATGTAAAATTTGCCTTGTGTGTAGAAACTGACCTGTTGATAATCAACATCCTCACAAGCTTCAGTTTCTAGTGACCTAAGACAGAATCTTCAGCAACACTCCGCCGTATTTTGCATCATCCCTTCTTTCTTCAATTTCATTAAGAAACCCATTTTCTCCCCAGGACTGCTAATTTATGCATTCTGTAGTCTTCATCTCCACCAATGTCAAAAACATCAATTAATGTATGTGTACGTTAAAAGTGCCATTCTGGCAGCGAGAACGATCCTGAACTAAATGAATGTTTTGGCATGTGAAGTGTTTATTGAACCAATCGGATAAGAGTAAATGGAGAGTCAGCGAGAGCCTCATTTGATTGGCTACAAGGTGGTGGACCCACCCTCCCCCTCATGCCTGCAAAAGTCAGTTACCGAGAGAATCGTGCCAAAATTGTAAGCGCAGAGAAAAGAAAGACATAGCTGTACATATCGGTTTATTTCTGGAACTTTTTGCCCCACATGCACAACAAGTAATTTAGACATTTGCAACAGTTTATTTTTGTACACATACAGATTGGTTCTATGCAGTCAATCCGTTTTGCAGTTCTTTAAAGTGTAGTTTTCGCTTGCAAATCACTGTTCACAGGCTTGCAGTACTTTTGACCATATTTTAGCGAAAACAACGTTCCAAAAGATGGAAGAATGCAGATATTTATTTAGCATTAGCATGAAGCTGCAGTTTCCACAATACATGAATTACACTTACGAGTAAGTAACAGTAAAATGCTGCAAATCATTTTTTAGCGAGGTGGAACACAGGGACCCAACTCGGGAGGCCGTGCGTCCGAGGGTGGGGTCTGAGTGTGCGGCGCACCACTTACCTGGCTCCATAGCTGGGCAGGGGGCTCGTGAGGAGGCACAGCGTCCCCGAACCAGACCCTGCTACCCATCGGCGAAAGGAGAGGGGGACGGCCGTGTGGAGACAGGGTCTCGTGCACCGCTATCCTCGCCCTCTTGGGACCCGGAGGCAAAGGAAACTGCTCTTTTATTGAAGTTTTGGGTACCACTGGCTGGGTAGAACAAAAACAAATGGAAACATAAGATTCTCCACCCGGCCCTCCTCCGGGGGAAGGAGTGGTGCAGTATAGCGTGATTACACAGTTGAGTGAGACACAGAACAGAAGAGAAGAAAGGAACACAGCCCACAGATGACAAAAACTAGAGGCAGGAAGAGCAACCTTGGCAACACAATAATTCATAGACAAGGCGTATCCCTCAAGTAGGCAACTTTTACTGATCGCTAGCTAATAAACTAGTCTTGAAGAGAAAGTTAACCCAAAATGAACATTCTGTCATCATTTATTCACCATCTCATCGTTTCAAACCTGTATGGCTTTCTGTGTGACATGAATAATTTTGAGAGTAATTTTGACCAATGTTCATGCTACTCTTAATTTGTAAGAATTCACATTTTCAAATATTTTGTCATTAATTCTTATGTTCCACGGACAAAAGAAAAATCCTATGGATTTGACTAACATGAGGGTGAGCAAGCAATGACAGGTTTCATTTTTTGGGTTAAAGGTATAGTTCACCCAAAAATTTTAATTCTGTCATAAATTACTCACCCTCATGTCATTTCAAACCTGTAAGTCCTTCATTACACAAATTAAGATATTTTTGATGAAATCTGAGAGCTTTCTGACCCTACATAGACAGCAACACAACTGACACGTTCAAGGCCCAGAAAGGTAGAAAGGACATCATTGAAGTAGTCCATGTGACATCAGTGGTTCAACCGTAATGTTATGAAGCTACAAGAATACTTTTTGTGTGCAAAGAAAACAAAAATGCATGTGCATTTTTATTTTGATGAACGAAGGTCTTATGGGTTTGGAATGACATGAGGGTGAGTAATTAATGACAGAATTTTTGGGTGAACTATATCTTTAAAAAAAACTTTAATAATGTAATAACATACGCTGCTGTTCAAAAGTTTGGGGTTTGGGGAGCTCAATTTTTTATGTCATTCAAATAAGTCTTTCAAGCTCACCAATACTTCATCAAAAATACAGATAATTGTAATTTAAAATAACTGTTTTCTATTTTAACATTTTAAAATGTAATTTATTTCTGTAATAAAAACGCCAAATTTTCAGAAAACATTCTAATATGCTGATTTGGTCCTAAAGAAACATTTATTTTTATTATCAATGTTGAAAACAGCTGCTTAATATTTTTCTGGAAACCGTGATACAGTTTTGAACAGTAGTGTACATCATAAGCTTATCAAAAGCCATGAGTAGTAGACAATAAATGATCTATAAATGCCATAATGTATTATTTATACATCTTAGCAAAATTCACTCTTAATAAAAATAAAAGGTTCCACAAAGGGTCTTACAGAACAATCTGATATTATTAGAGAACATTTTTAATTTCTATAGTTCTTTAGAAGGTTATCAGTATACTGGTACTACAAAAAAGAAAAAAGCCCAGGGGGCCTTTTCCTCTGTGAATGGCTGATATCTAGGACAAATATAGTGATCTGGGGCCTTATTTATAAAACGTGGTGTACGCACAGATTTGATCGTAGAGTGTGCGTACGCAAAAATCCACACCAACGTTCATATTTATAAAAACGGTCTTTGACGTGGAAAAGAGTTTAGCGCCACGTCAGGGTCTGAGCAGACATATGCACTTTTGTTTGCCCGAGTTTTGGAAATATAAGCCATTCTTGCCACTTGTAAAAGATTTGGACATTGTCAGGTACTCTTTTAAAAGTCAATGACATTAATTAGACATTGTTTACAAGGCAGAGATCTGAAACTGTTCAGCTGCTCACAATTTCAAGATCATTGCAATTTATAGATTATCTTCTAAAAGAGAGGCGTACGCACATTTTCTGTGCATACGTTCGTTCTATGAATCACACGTATGCACTTTGAGAAATGATCGTAAAATCACATTTAGAATGCTTCTATGCAGTATTTTATAAATGAGGCCCCTGAAGAACATATAATGTAACATCAAGAACTTATTCTCCAAAGAACCATACAGCATCTCAAAAAGCCAAGAAAACGGGCCTTAATTGGAAGAATTACTGCAAATAATCTCTAAAGAACCCTTATTTTTACTCAGGCATAGCTCCTTATCATTCTGCATGTAAGGTAAGGTAACAATCCTAACCTGATTCTCCTCGTGGGTCACTCGCATCTGTTCTTTGAGAATTGACGTGCGAGCTGCCTCCTCTTTCCTCATCACGCGTTCTTTCTTCAGCTCGGGGCTCCAGAAGCTCTTGATGCTATTGGTGGAAGAGCCCAGCTTGCTGTCCTTCAGGTCCAGCTCCCTCCGTAGTAGCTCGTTTTCCCTCTGCATGTCCCGCATCTGCGCTTGGAGCTCCAAAAGTTCACCTCCACTGCCCCTAACCGCCTGTCGCAGCAGGGCCGACGGCGTCCCCTGGTGGTGGAGCATAGACAGTGAGCCCAGATCTCCATAAGACAGCAGGTCGGCGTGCGGGTGTCCCACCATTGCGATATTAGGGGTGCTGCCCATGGCCGTAACCCGACCGCCATACATCGCTCGACTCGTGGCCCGACCGAGCGTCAGGGTACCTTTAGGGTAAGTAGCCGTGGATCCGACGCCTTCATGGTCGCTCAAGTACATTGGGCCAGATGTTGCGTAGGCAGCATTGAGGGACTGGATGTTCTCCATGGATAAGGTCTTGCTGCCCGAACTGCCACTGTTGGCTCGACGGTGGCCCAACCGAGGAGAGCGGGGCAGCCGTGGGGAGCGAGCAGGGCTGCCCTCGATGTGGCTGACGGCGCGCGCACTGCCATACATCTCCCGAGGTTCTGTAACACAGAGTCTGTAAGAAAAGCCCCTTCACGGATCGACAAGGGTGTTTATTGCATCCTAGAGAAGAGAAGAGAAGAGAAGTCACACACTTCAAAATGCAGTCAAACACTTCAAAATGGCTGCAACAAAGTGGCTTTGTGTATCGTCTGGAACAATTCTTCGCTTTCATTTACAACAGCCTAGAGCTAATCAAAATGCAAATACGTATTAAGTTCCATTGCGAGACATTGTATTCTTTTTCATTTCAGAGACAACGTAACTTCCTTCAAATTTCTGTCTGAGGTGGGTTCAAGATAATGCCGGTGTCTATTCTTCAGAAAGATGAGTCAAAATGAAAAGTGCCCCGCAGTTTTCCTCAGAGGTGGGGACCACTTGCTGCTCGCGGGGATGACGCTGATGCTGTGGACAGGGTTGCTATGGCAACAGTGACTGAGATGATGGAGGAGAGCGCACCTGTTTTCACTCGTATTAAAAGTGAGGATGTGTGGGCATTCATGGGCATGTGAGGGAGCGAGAGAGAGTGAGAAATGTACAATTATGCTGACATTAAACGAAGCTGGTCTTGCAGATGGCCTGGTCATCTGTGCACTTTCGTGCCAGAGTACACATTCGGCCTTCATCTTTCCGGACGGAGACCATATATATAGCATGTCATACTGGACAAACAGGGAAAAAAAAGGGAAAGGGCTGCACCCGAATGCCAAGATTTTTACATTTTCTGGTGCTTGCCAGTGCAAAACCCACTGTTTTCTGGATGGTTGCTTACTATTACGAGTCAAAAGTACTCTGCTGTTAAATATACAGTAAAAACGGCAGCCAGAAATTCATGGTAAACAAAATATAGTGGCAATGTTTCCGGTATTATGGTATTGTTAATCACCAAGTTACTTGAACTTCCAAAATCTGCTTTTACCTTAAAATGTACTTATAACCACCATGATAATACCGGTGGTAAAATAGAAAGCCACATATTGAATCAGAGTTCTGAGCAAGTGGCTAGTCAATAACACATGACCAATATATGGTTTGTAGGGTCATACAAAGACAAAACACCATCAGGGTAACACGTAACACTAAAATAATACAATAAGCATTAACTAAATAACACAAAATGTGTCACAAAACATCCTAATATACATTATTAATAACAAAATGGAGAAGTGACAAAATTATTTATACTTTATGTAATATAATCATATGTGGGAATGTCGTTTTACTGTGTTATTTTTTTAATAAATTAAATTAGTAATTTAGTAAATTAGTGTTGTCAAAAGTATCGACTGTGATACCATTGGGGTAACACTTTATTTGAAGGGGTGTGCATAAGACTGACATGACACCTTCATAATCATGACATGACACATGTCATGAATATGAAGGAGGTTTTATGCATGTTTATGACAACTGTCATTAAGTGTCATTCGCTCAGTTATGTCATTTTTAATGCAAATATGACATTATTTGACCTAACCCTACCCCTACCCTTACTACTAACCATAGCCCATAACAAAGACATCTCAAACAATGTCATCTTTGCATAAAAAATTACATAACTGAGCGAATGACACTTAATGACAGTTGTCATAAACATGCATAAAAAACCTTCATATCCATGACATGTGTCATGTCTTGATTATGTAGGTGTCATGTCATGATTATGAAGGTGTCATGTCAGTCTTATGCACACCCCTTCAAGTAAAGTGTAACCACAGGTTTCAACTGTAGAATTTTTTACCGTTTTTTTCTCTGTAAAAATTACAAAGATTTTTACAGAGTTGATGTAGGCTACGTCAATTCCAGTGTAAAATAACACCTCTTCTACAGTATATAAGCTGCTCAATTTGAGGTATTACCCACATCTGTAGCACAAATGCTGAAGGATGAGTTATGCCCAGAAGTTAGTTCAAACCTCTAAACCTTGGAATGAGAGATGAGGCATGATTCCTCAGGAAATACCACTAATTTAACTACACTTTCTGATGCTTCATTTCCTGTTCCAACACAAAGGTCATGGGATTGCTGTCCAGGGAACACATAAGATGTACACTTTGAATGCACTGTAAGTCATTTTGGATGAAAGTATCTGCCAACAGCATAAATTAAACAAGCAATTCTGCTTTTGGTCTCAACTGAAGTAGCTAACAGAGACTGAGTTAATTAATGTCAGCAGAGAAACTTCTGAATGAGAAATTAATGACGGAATGAGCTTTTTTTTTGGTCAGTAATATATAGAAGCCAGCTGCTCTCCAGCATAAATGGCTTAATCAAGGTGGCAGGGTGCATATCACGAGACACTGACTCTCTCTCTACCACCCACTCTGACGCTGAAAACAGTGTGTGCATAGAGCCACAAAGGGCAAATTACCCAGACTTCAATAACACGACATGTTAAAAGAGAAACTGGCCAAGCGATTCATCTGTTGCATGGAATGCGAGTTAACCAAGCCATGCAGTGCATGGTTTAAACCCAGAATTCAATTCAGCTCAAGTTCATCGTTTGTACAAGGATACAATTTTCACAGACCTCACCCTGGTAAAAACTCTTATTTGTCAGAAGTCTATCACCACAATTTGAAGCAGATCACTTATTGGCATTCAGTATGTAATAAAAGAAAAAACAAATGTTGAAAGTACTGTTTCTCAATTTCATTCAATGAACCTTAAAAAGTTCAATTCCCGCAACTTTTAACAAATTAATCCTTATATAGTCGTTGCTAAATACTGGATAAGGCTATTTTAAAAACATTTTTAAAGAGTGCAAACACAAAAATAGTCAATTAATATTTTAGATCTGTGCATATCTATAAAAATGTATACTCACTACAGAAATTCCCATGACATTTCCAGACCAATTTTTAAATTCCCCCAAATGTCCAAGTATAAAACAAGGTGAGGTTTCTCTTCTCAATTATATCTTAATAAAATATCAAATAAAATGATTTTGAAGCAAGGTTGACAGTTCACATCATACAAATCCATTGCTTCCAGATGTCTGCCGGTCACATTGTGATAAAATATCACATAATGTCCCTTGTAATCAAGGGTTGCCGGAAACACTGTTTAAACACCAATAAATTATTTGATCTTCTGAAGATCTGACAGAAGCCATATGTTAAAGCCCTCCTTCATCCTTCAGCCACTGGCTGTGCTGATAACATCTGTTTTCTGATTGGCTTTCACCAATGTCAATCATCCCCCAAAAATCACTTCTAGAGGCTGACAGGTCATACATGCCCATGTTTATCCTAATTGAGAAGCAATCACTGGAAAAAAAACACCAAATGCAATATACATGCGAAAATGTAATGCCTAAATTGAGATTAAAAAAAGATAGGTGTATTCAATATAATTAAGCTTAAGAAATGTCATTTCTAACATTAACATCGAATTATTCTCATTTAGACCGCACACACAGAAACGTTCATGCATAAATTATCAACCGTTTATGAAGATAAATTAACACTAATATGAACGCGTGTTCATATATTGAACCAGAACCAGAGTATGCATTGATCCTAAAGCAAATGCTACTGAAACAGCATCGAGCGACGCTTCATCTCGTTCATACTACAGCGGATTTAAGCTCACTTTCCATCATTCAAAAATAAAATAATTAGCTCAAATCGATGAATCCGACCTAAATTTCGCTCCTTTAATATAAACCCCACCTAACTGCGGTGAATGGATGCCAGTGTGTCGTTAGATCAGGTTTCGTTACCTTTTCAGCGTCGTCGCCGCTCCATCACTGTGCGGGTCCCCCAGCATCAGCATCAGCATCAGCGTCCCACGTCCTGCATCCACTCCAGCATCAGCATTCCGCTCTCTTATTGGACACTCGTACTCAAACTCCGCCCCCGAACGCATAAATGAGCTTCAGATTTAAAGGGACAGGACAAATAGTGACAAGAGACGCGTCGACCAAATGAGGCGCTGTCATGCATGTATGTAGATTATGTTGTATTGCACTGTATTATCACTTAAGCTCAATTTGAGATCAGTGTCGCCTACAAAGAGAGAATTAACACAAGGGTTAAAGCAAGGTTAAATTATGCCCCCCACACACAGAAACAGCAATTCTTACACACTCTTTATATTACCACACAAGACAATGCCTGCCTGCATACACACACACACACACAGTATTAGTAGTTTAAGTTATCTTTCTGTCCCCTACAATTATTTTTTTTACTTCTACTTTTAGAAAATATAGGCTACTTCCAACTTTTTATATTTAATAGTCATTTGCAAGCGGTGTGTGTGTGTGTGCGTGCGTATATGTATGTGTACGGTCATGGCCAAAAGTTTTGGCAGTGACATAAATTGCCAAATATTTTTAAGTTTGCTACTTCAGTATTTGTAGATAATTTTTCCACATGGTTCAATGGTATACTGAAAAACAATGATAAGCATATCATAAGTTTTAAAGGCTTTTATTGGCAAAAAAAAAATAAAAAAAATATATATATATATATAATGAGTCAATATTTACAGTGTTGACCCTTGTTCTTCATAACCTCTGCAATTC